AAAAGATTAAACAAAAGTCCATATGCCACAGCAGCACCCCATGATGGATTTGTTGTTTCCCCTTCCTCAGCAATTCCAGAGCACGCCTCCTCTTCCTGGTCCAAGAGAGACATGGCTCAGAACAGAAGGGCCCCCATACTGCCAACCTCACTCTGCTCCTTTACAAAGATTTCAAAGTACTGGTAGATAATTGTGACCGCGAGCAGGATCCCGGTTCCAGAACCAATGGCACCCAGGAAGTCAGCCAGAACGGAGAGGGCCCCGATGCACAGTCCCCCGAAGGCAGCGGCAGTGGGGATGTACCTGGGGAATGGGAGATGGGTCAGCAACATGCCACCATGTAGCTTGTTCTAGCCTGGCCCGCCCCTAACGGCAGGGCCAGGCAGTCTGACATGCTTACCTCTGATTTAAGAACCTAACTCTTTTAGAGGTCGCTCTGCTATCTTCTTGAAACTTCACTTACTTACATACCTTAATGGTCTAGACTCGGGCTCCTATTCAGTAAGTGGTTGCACAAGCCACACGTGGCTAGTAAAATGTGATCAGTTCAAGTTGAGATATTAAAATGGCACAGGAGATTTTGAAGATTATAACATATCTCAAGATTTTTCTTACATTATAAATTTTTACTTTTTTAATGTGACTACAAGAAAATTTTAAATTTCATATGTGGCTTGCATTATATTTCTCCTGAATAGTATACTGTAAACCTAGAGGCTTCAAAGAATTCTTATTAAGAGAATGAACAATCTCTGCTAGAGATTGGAAAACAATCTGAAATTTGTAATGCTCATTTTTTTGTGGATACAGGAGCCTTTTCTATCTTGTAACTAAGGATAAGATTTAATGAACCAGAAATCCCTAAGCCCTATCAGGATGCTTGATGTGTAAGAAAACCACAAATGTAAGGAAACCACTGGGACCTAGGGCCAGCACTCACCGATTGAGTTCATGGACCATGGAAGTCTCTCGGTGGCCCCTCATTACCATCTGCTGCTCCTTCAACTGCTTTGCAACCTATGTGATGCCCGAAGAAATTATGTTCAATTTTAAGCTTGATACTGAAAACCAAGTAGACATTTCATAGTGGCACTGAATACTCACAGGTTTCCTTCTTTAGCACTCTACCAATATTTGTATAGATAATTTTAAAACTGCTGCAAAGAAGTCACATGGAAAGAAGTCTAGTTTTAGTTTGGCTCCAGCTCCCCAGGTGAGCACTAATTTATGGTTGGACTCCATCAACAGAAAAGCTCCTAATGAAGAAGCGGCTGTGTGTGTTCAGAGACCACTTTCTTAGGAAGAAGTGACAAGCTGAGACCCCTTATACTGGTGACAGGTGACAGCTACTGTTTCCTGGTTTAATTAAATTATAACTTATACTTACATCTTTGGCAGAGGAGCCTGAGACCTCAATCCACGTTTTGGAGAAGAATGCGCATGAGCCCAGCATAAACACTATATACACAACAGCATGGACAGGGTCTTCTAACACGGAGCCAAATGATTCTGGAGGGGACAGGTAATAGCAAAGGCCACCAACTGGATAAGCACGTGCTGGACCCCCGGAAGACGTATCCTGGGACAAATACACAGAGAGCCTGTGAGTGCTGTTTCATTATACCTTAGCATCAGGACAAAAGTAGTTCTGAGTAGATGAAAAGGAATACAATTTTGCTCAAGTGTCCACAGTGCAGTGTTCTTGCTGAAAAGAAAATTTAACATGCTGAATTTGTAAAAGGCACAATTAGAAAATATCTTTGGGTAAAATGTTTGGTCACGAACAAGACACATGGATGCACACCACTGCAACTAGTTGCAGCATTAAAACTGATTTCTTTAAGCGGCCATACTTACAGACCAGGTGCCCAGCAGACTGACCAGCAGGTTGCCACTGAAGCGGGCTGACAACATCTGAGAGATGACATACAGGTTGGACACCAGGGCAGACTGCAGGATGATGGGGATGTTGGAGGTGTAGAAGAGCTTGATAGGGTAGGTGTTATATTGGCCTCGGTAACGGGCCGACTTGATGGGCAGGTCCACTCGGAAGCCCTGAGAAGCCAAACAGAGCAGAGTACGCTCACTGCCTTGTTCCAGCCTCCACATGGACACAGCCCAGCAGGGGACTGTCATGTTCCTTTCTGACCCACTACTGCACTCAGGAGGACATGAACAGAGGGTTCCCAGAAAGACAGGCTTAAAAATGCACCAAAACACAGCACAGTGCAACAGTCCTGTTTTTGCCAAAAAAACAAAGTCTACCATATTATATTTGTATCAATATGGAATATACAGAAGATCTTGAAGGGCACATACACAAGTTAAGTCCTAATAGTGGTTCTCTTTGGCGGTGATCTCTCCTGTGCTTTTAGTCACCCCAAGGCAAAGCCATCATGGCCTCCACCTCACACCCCAGAGCAGCCTTTTACGATGTTTTAAATCACCAACAGAAAAGCTAAGCTTTTTATGAATAAAGCCTCTCCCTCTGAAACTCTTGGAAAATAGAAAGGTTTTCTTTTATATTATTTTTACAAACTCCCAGTACCTAGAACAGACTCAGAATACAAAGAATTTAAAATAATTTTTTAATGATCTAACCACAAATACCTGCAAGCCCTTAAAGAGTTAGCTTATTATTACTCAGCCATCTAAAGTCTCAGCTGAAGGAAGAGATCTGTCTGGTCCTCAGGAAAAGCACCTGGCTGGTATAAATACCTTTTCACAAGCAGTAACTGGTTTCTCCACTGCTGTTCCATTTTAATAAATATCAGAATACAAAGTGGCCGAATTAAAAATACAAAGATTTATCGGCTATGGAAAAGCAACTTGTAGCTCAGGTCTCTTATTCAGAAGTGACACAGACTAATAATTTGAAAGGTAAGAGCTCAAGAAGAAGGGCCTTTTCCAAGATGATGATACTACCTAGAAATACTCTAAACTCTGGGTAAGACGGCAACAAGGCTTTAGAGCTTGATGACTTTTCACTACTCTTGAACTAAGAACTTAAAGAACTATCTTCTTTATCTGATGATAGGCCCAACCCGAAGGAGCATAATTTCAGAAATGTTACATCTGCCTCAGTTTTGTTTATTTCAGGCAAGTCTCCATGACTCAATGGAACACACCTATCCAGCTTACAAAGAAACTTGCTCCTTTCAAATGCCACCCCACCACTTCAATACGATACGATGACATATACCACTCCTGGAATGTGAGTGGGGGCACACACACCAAGGCATTCTGAAACTTAAATGCAGACCCATCAGGGCTCCCTGTGGTGGGTCTGGACGCACCTGGAAATAAATGACCACTGCAAAGACAAAGATGGTGGCAATCAGATTCATGAGGTTGGGGAGGTTCTGGCGGTAGAAGGCCTCTCGAAGGGCTCGGACTTTGTCAGTGCGTGTGGCCAACAGATGAAACAGTGCAATAATGGCACCTTCAAATTCCATACCTGTTGGTGAAGGAAACGCATGTGGTAAAAAAACAAACAGCTTTTTAGAGGCCAAAAGAGAGAGGGAAATAGAACAGAATTAAATTTTTTGAATTTAAAATTCACAGTGCCTACTCCTCCTATAACCATAAAAGTACAGTGGCATTTTCTCATCCCTCATTTCTACTTCTTCCGTAGAAATTTCAACCTGCAGAAATGGGCTATTCTACCTTTTTGATTTAATTATCTCATTTCGCTGGCATGTTGAGTCAATGGCTACCAGATGTGTGGAATAACGATCAATTAAAAAATCATAAAAGCAGGATCTGCTGAACTCCAGCTAGAAGGGTCTGCTACTGGAGAGCAAGCCAAGAGCTGCTCAGGCCACTTCCCAGGTAAACCCCAGGCAGCAGAGCACCCTAGCTCTGAAGTGCAGGCTGCCCCTGACAAGGCAGGGCTTGACTTCTCGACTTCTTACAATGATGGTCAAGCAGAATGGACAACATGAATGCTCACCACACATCCCAATCTAGTCAGAGTATACACCCCACCATGAGAGGGTGCTAAAGAGAGCCAGACAAGCACAACCAGGAAGCAGAGCAGTTTACTGGGGGTCTGAAGGAATTAAGAGTAAGAACAGGTACCTGACTTGAGGATTAGGCAGCAGAGGGAAAAGTGAGAGGAAGCTGGGGAGCATGGGGGCATTAGTAAGACCTAGAAGTCTTGTAAGTTTCCAGAAATTTACTGAAGTTAAAACCCCACCTCCACACTCCCTCTCCCCAAAATTCCCAGCTAAAAGAAAGAAATAGGAGCAGTATACTAGTGTGTAATCATTGCTGTTCCAGGACAGTGTGACTGTCCCACAAAGAAAGTCTGGCCTCATGGAGGGAGCCAGCACTGTATCCAGAGTTGTGGTCTGCGGGCAGGTGTGGGGTCCTTACATCAGTACCATGAAGTGTACTATGTACTGCCCTGGGATGGCACTTCGCTCAAGTTTCTAACACTTGATGGTGGAACCACCTGTTTCTTCTCCCTCTGACTCTTTCTGGACCATTCGGATACCAGCATCACTGCTGATTTCTTTTCAAGTCTCTGGGATGGGGCTTCTGTGGAAGTGCTCTGTCCTACCAGTGCTTCCTCAGTTCCCATCCTTTCCTCCTTTTGGTCAGGTAACAGCATTGGCTTGTCAAACCAATGTGCAGAATTCAGGGATCTTAAAGCTAGAGCCAGGATCTTAAAGCTATTTCATAGAGGATGACATCTGGGTGACCAGGGAAGAAGGAACTTGTTCACACTCTGCCCACTCTCAACACTCCATTATGTGATCTCAGTGTTGACTACTCTTCCCTTTGTTCATTCTGTTGCAGCCACATACACTGACCTCTAACACACCAGGTACCTTCCCACCTCAGGGCTCTCTGTACCTCCTGGTTCCCTCTAAATTCTCATAGGGCTCCCTCCCCTTTTCAGGACTTCGATTACCTAGACTAATCCCGTGACAACACTCCTGGCATTCCCATCTTCTTTCTCTGCCTTGTTATTCGCCTTCATATCTGCAGCAACACCTAACATACATATAACACAGTTTACTTACTTTGTATTTCTAATGCTTTCAACAGTGGTTGGCCCTTAACAGGCACATGATAAATATTTGTTAAATGAAAGCTAGTGCCAGGGTTAGGCTTTAGTTCTTCTAATTTTTAACAGAATTATTCTTTAAAATTCACTACCTACCTAATATCTGGGAACGAATGAGGTTTCTAAGTGTTAATGTTACTTAAGAGGGGAAAGCTATTTTGTAGCTATGTGCTGTCCCTGCTAATCCTGTTTTGGGCTGTTCCCACTTGCCCAGGGAAGCAGCAATGCTTAATCTCCCAGACCCGAAGGGTGTCAGTCAACAGCGCATTTCCATGTCACCAAGCCAAGCCGCAGCAGAGTTCTAGATGCAGCTGCCATTCTCCTTCAGCCTTGTGACTTTTGTGATCTCTGCCCTTTTCCAGGGCCCAGTCTTTGTGACCCTACTCTTCCCCCTTTCCCTTCACTCCTCAGCAAGCATGGCGGTCTTGCAGCCTCACTCACTGGCCCACATGCACGTGGCTGTGGAATCACCCTTCCTGGCGGCGCCCTCTCTCCAGCCAGTTCTCAAACACTGCCAGTTGACATTAAGGCACTTTTACTTTAAAGCCAGAAACCAACCTACCTTTGCTGTCAATTTTCATCACCCTTTAAAGTATACCCTTTTGCTTGTCCCTTACATTCTTTTCTCCTAATGCCCTCCCTCAATGCTTTCCTTGTGACAGGCTGGCTTGTCAAAAAGGTGGAAGACTGAATAGTTACCAAGTTGCATTCACATCTTCTATTCCAGTCTGAGGTGAATCCCTCCCTCCAGACTTGGCTTCCTATTGCCTCACGGGCCTGACCCGAATGAAAGGTGGCTGCTTCACTCTACTCTGGTATCGCTTCCTCATAATTCAGGATGTCACCCAGGCCAGTTACAGTATGGTTTTGCCATACCCCTGAACTTCTATCCTTCATCCTCCTGCCTTTCACACCCATGCCTGAAAAGCCCTGCCTTCTGTCCCCATGTGTCCCTATTTGCCTTGGATTTTCTACAGTTCCAAGAAGTACCCAGGGAGGAATCAAATCTTATCTTGCCCACTTCTCTCTGACATTCCCTTCTTCAAGCTACGCTCATTGCTTTGTAATCTTTTGGGCACATGGAAACTTCATGTGCCCAGGGACCTAGTTTCCAGCATTCAATTCTATATGAATATTTATTTCTCACAGGACTCTTATAAGTAAATAACATATTTAGTGATGAATGATTACCTTTCCTAATAAGTCATATTTCCTTTTGTTTAGAAATTATTAAAAACATCCACAGTAACAAGATGTCCTTGGCACTCTTTGTGGGTATAGAATACTAACATTTAATGGGCAGCTACTATGGGCCTGACATCATGCCATTTCATGTTATTTCTCATTTTATCCTGGCAACGAAGGCCCAGAGGTAGACAGATTGCCCAAAGCCACTTATGTACTAATAGGAACAGCCAAGAGGTGAACTCTAAGTTTAGGCCTCTTTCATAAAGTTGCCACTTGCATGACCAACTGCGTTGGTTCAGTGATTTCATTTTTAGAAATATATTCACCAAGAGCAACTGCCAAAATACATAAAAGATGAACTTATGAGGCTGTTCACTGTTTCTCTGTTGTAATAAGAACCAAAACTGGAAACAAATTAAATGTCAATCAGAAGACTGGTTAGTTGCTTCATCCTTGCCATGAAGTCCATGCTGTGCTAGGAAAAATGAAGCAGGATTCTGTATTCTGGCATTGGCAAATGTCCATGAAATATTCTGATGTGGAAAAATCTAAGCTATGTCTCAGTATAAGCAGAAGCCTGTCTGTGTTTAAAAAATTTATTCAGATATACACAGAAAAATCAGAAGTAATGTACCTAAAATGGTGGTGATTCTTCCTTGGAACAGGGATCTTGTATCTTTTGCTTTACATATGACATATGCTTTTTACTGACCTGTCCCCAGGAAAGCCCAAGGGCCCTTACCTCGGCCAGTGTTGACAGTGGTGGGGCTGAATGCCTTCCATACGATGGTCTCACAGATATTAGTGGCAATGAAGAGGGAGATACCAGAGCCCAGGCCATACCCTTTTTGCAGAAGTTCATCCAAAAGTAGGACAATTAAGCCAGCAACAAAGAGCTGTAAAAATTTAAAAAATAAGTGACATCAAGATACTGCTACTTTAAAAAGTGGAGAAACTCAAACAGACTACATTCTTGCTCCCCAGGAGCATGGCTCTATCCTCCCTCAGTAAGGGGCTTCTCTGGTATAAATGCTGAAGGCTGAATAGGCAGTGGACAGCAGAGCCTTCCTGTGGTGAGCTCAGAAGGGCCAACACAAGCTCTTTGGCTCCTTCTCAGTTTCTTTTATGCATGTTCAGGTTTGTTATTTGGGAAGTATAAGGGAGGGAAGATGTTAACAATTACCTGAATGGTGATTAACAGGCAGATTCCAGCACCCATTTCAGAAGGGTCCCCATACATTCCCGTCATCACATACACAATAGACTGGCCAATGGTAATGATCATTCCAAATACTAGAAATCAAAAGAAAACTTTCTCAAAGTAGGACATTAGACAGTCATAGAAGAAACAGTATCGAACACCTACTCTGTGCCTGGAACCAGGAAGAACAAAGATGAAGAATACTGACACTGCCTCCAAGGAGCTTGGTCCAAGAAACACCCAACAGTTATATCATCAAAGTACACAATAACTTAAATGCCTGTTAACAGAAGCAGGGGAATGCCTTAATTTCACCTTTTTCTAAATTCACTTTCCTTATAGTGACAGGAGGAGGAAAAGCACTGGAACATGACAAATCTGGTTCTGGTGGAAGGCAAATCAGGAAGCAAAATCTACTGAAGACAGTACCCTGAGGTACACAATTTAGGGATGTCACCAATCCACAGCACTCAAATTTGGGTCAGGTTGCTTGGGTTCTAAAGAGCTCCTGAGCTGAACAACGTGCTTGGACCACCTCTACAGGTTCATCATCCAGGTCTGAGTCCAGAACACAGATGATTAACTGGGATAAAGTGATCCTTTTCCAATTGGCATGTAATGTGTTTTCTTTACCGGAAAACTTCACAATGCCAGCAATTTAGTCACTTGTCCCATTTCTCCTGACACAAAGCTCTCTTGGCCTAATAGAAGCTTTCCATTTTTAGATTGTCTTTGGTTTCTTATATTGTTGTACCTCACTGTTAGGCACAATAGAATTGACACATTTTTACTGGTTCCACAATACTAGATGAATCTCTAAGTAGGGGTTTGGGCTTCAAGTTCAGCTTTTCTGGTTAGTTTGTCAAGCTCGGCCATCACTTCAAAGTGCCCATCAAATGTAGTCCCTAACTGACTTTTAAAAAACTGCTCAAAAACAATGAATTCTTAAGGCAGAATTTTAAAAATTGTCAAGACCAAAGAAAAAACAGCTGACTTGTGATTTTGAAAAGTAATTCATGTATATATTTTGAAATCCTGATTTGCGTCTGAAACTGACAAGTTTAAATGAGATTAGTTTTTTCCACTCAATTATTTAACTTACTTAGTAAGATTTCTGATAGGAGCTGGTGTTAAAGAAAATATGGCTGGATAGCAAACTGTAAATATCATTTTCTATTATTAATATATTTCAAACTGTAAATATCATTTTCTAATATTAATATATTTCAGTTCATTCAGAGGCTGAACATGGGTCATTTTGATGACTGGTCATTGTTACCAGTGACATTACTTGCTATGAGGCAAATATTATTATCCCCATTTTTACAGATGAAGAATCTGAGATATAAGAGCTGTCATCTAACTTTGTCCTAAGTCACCGATCTAGTAAATAGTAGAGCTGGGCTGAGACGATCACCTTTCTCCTAAGTTGAATCCTTTTAAACTCCCAGAGGAAAAACAACACTTGTCAAATATCTAATATGTGCCAGGCACCGAGAGATGTTTTATAAATGTTATTCCACTGAATTCTTATGACAGCTCTGAGGTACACCATCATCTCCTCCTAAGTGGTAAGGATATGTGACTGGTGGAAGGGAGACCTCCAAGCCCTGCTCCTTCCACTTGATCATACAGCCTCTGGGACACTGGACATCCTTTCCCCTGCCCTGTCCAGCCCATCCAAGTGCCTTGCACCATGGCTCTCATAGTAGTGCTTTCCTGTTAACACAGGCCATGGAGCACTAGCAGGGCTGGTGGGCCAAAGAGATTACACGTAACAAAGAAAAAACTATTTTGATGCCCAAACTTCACAGCAAATTCAAATTCTCAATTATAGACATTTGAACATCATTCAAAATCTCACTTACACTTTTGGGCTCCATTGAAAAGGGCTCGGTCTTTTGGGGTATCACCAACTTCAATTATTTTGGCGCCAGCCAAGAGCTGCATGATGAGGCCGGAGGTGACAATGGGAGAAATACCGAGTTCCATTAATGTGCCTGAGGACAGGGGAGGCAGAACACAGTCTGTATTAGCTTGGAATAACAACACATTAATAAGAAATTGAATGAGCCAAATTTGACTCCTTATATAAATCCAGTGTGCTTCAGTGTCCTAACAGCATTTAATTTAGAGAATAACCCCAAAATATCAATAATTAGAGTATAATTCATTCTTTTCAGTCTGCTAGGCAACATCTTACTCTGTTTTGGAAGTCACATTGCATTTAAACAGATTGCTGCCTTTATATTCACCATAAACAGATTCATTCTGGTTTCACAGAGATAAGAAAGGTTTGTCATTCTATCAGTTAATAAAAAAGAATAACATTTAAAAATGTCAAGTCTGAAAAGGAAGTCTGTACAACTGTATGTATTTGTGGATAAACTTCTACTTCCATTATGATAAAATGAACTGTACTTCCAACTGATTTGGAACTTAATTTGAACTATATTTTAAAAAATGAATTAATCAAAAGCAGTACTTACATAAATATTCAAAATCCACCCCCCCCAGGTAACTGCTTAGAGTATACAAAATAGTTACATATTTTTTGACATATTATATGTAACCTATAGATATGAAAAAGATACAGCTGAGAAACAAATTACATATTCTAAAGATGATCAAAACACAAAAAAGATAGGTAGAAATATCATTTGTTGTTTAAAAAGCATTCTAGTTTTATTCTCTACAACATAGACTTATTTTGTTATTACAGGTTTTGTACTGCATTCATATGCAATTCTGAGTATGATATGCCTCAGTGCTGAATTTGGCATTTACTAAGGCTATTCAGCACAGCACACTAACATTCTTCCCAAACACTCTCTGAACTCAACATAAAGCCAAAGCCTGTGATTTAAAGGAGGTCAGTCAAGCCCACATTGTACAGAAAGAGGTGCAGAGAGCCAGAGTTCTACCTCTGTTAGAGGCTAGAATCACTCTTATCCAATAGAAAGGATCGGCAGAATCTGAAGACATAATACCAAACAGGGGGATCTAGAAACAAGCAGAGAGAAAAGGAGTCAGTGCACTTATCTCCAGCCTTCTCTGAACCCACCATCGACACTAGAACAGAAAAGCTGGGCTTACCTGGCAGCATACCAAGAAAATAAAGAGGGTGATAGCAGTCCACAGCACTTTCTCCTTAAACTGAATCTATAGAAAAGGAGAATGAATTAAGGCAACTTATTTTCATAAACAAATGAACAGAAATAGACTCAGATCAGACCCCTTTCTCTGTTCACCAGAAAAGTAGCCTTGAATACTCGAAATCATGCACCAAACATGAGTACCAAAACAGTACATGCTACATGCATGGCATGCTTCTATGTACAAGGCACGTATGCAAAGACCTTCATATTCATCTCTCATTTGATCCTTGCACTACATAGCATTATCATCTTTATTTTACAGTGAGAAAACTGAGTCTTAGAAAGGCTAAGTAATTTGTTCCAAATGCCACAGCTGAAGTGAGTTTGAGTTCAAAATGTGTGTTCTTTAACCATTAGCATTAAGTTTAAGATCAGACCCAAGATCAAAGAATGTTGCAATAGAAAGGGATTCCTAACCCAGACAAGCCCTTACAATGTATGAGCCATCACCATTCCTTTGAAAGGGTTTTCTAACTGACAAATGTTGTTATTCTGGAGTCAATTAATTTGGAACTTGTGATTGTTTAATACGTAATGTATTTTCTATGTAATAAACAATACTGGGGGGTGGGCAGGGAGAGTTGCAAGTTTAACCTACTCACTAACTACTCGTAGCGTCTGTATAACGTTATTTAAGACTTTTTGCATCTCCTTGGGAATCTAAGTAGGATAGGTTACAATTTAGAATCATTTTACAGGTGACTAATAAGAATCATTGGGAAAGTTTAGAAGCCCTGTTCAAGGCCTCTCTGGTACTAAGCAGTAGAGTGGAAATTCTTCTGGGTCTTCGACCTCTAAAACCGAGTATCTTTAGTTTGCTGCCTACACTGCAAGAAAGGCTTTAAAGGGCTTAAAAAACACAGTATTTATTGTGTGGACTGGAGATTTTGATGTGGAAATGCCTTTTGAGTGACAGTATTAAGTGAACAAAACTATGTTCTTAAAATACCTTTTTATTTGAGGGGAACAGGTGTCTAAGGAAGAACTGAGCCAGAGTCCTGGCTTTTTGGTCGGAATAGAAGTTGTAGTCCTCTGTCTACCACTTTAGGCCACAGTAACACGACCAAAGACTGCGAATTCCACGTATAGATGCTCCACGTGAAGTTGAGTGAATTCACAGAACTTCTTCCTCTTGAGAATGCTTCCCCTTCCCACCTGTCATTGCACCACACCAAGGAATTAGGAGGCCCATGGGAAGGCGACACCACTTCAGGCTAACCAGTAACATAACAAACTTGTATTGAAGTGATTCTTTATAGGAAAAAAGAATGGACAATTTTTACAGGATTCTTAATTTGTTAATAACTAAGTCTCTCCTGGATGCAAATTCAGCAGCGAAAAATCAAAAGCTGTTTATCCAGCCTTGTCTGCTCTTCCCCTTAAACAGCTCCTAAATCTATCATCTCCTAGCCTGCTCCCATAGTTCACTTTCTACTGCAAAAGCCTCTAAACCACTCTAATCCTTTACCCTACTTCCAAAGCAACTGTTTAATCTGTGTGGCTCCTATTGCTCCCCACTTACCCTTTATGTTCATTATTAATAATGAACTATATCTAACATCCTCCAACCTGCTTGTCTTCTTTGCTTTTGCACATTATATATTCTTTATGCCTGGGACTCCTTTCCCTTACTTCAAGAAAACTTCTATTCTTCTTTCAAAACCACCATCAGACATCACATCTTCCAGAGTTACTCCCTGTTGAAGCCACTGCATATATTTTCACTGCTCCATCACACGTTAGCTAGGCCAAAATCACACAGCTATTAAGAGCCTCTGTGAAGGGTGGGTCTGAGGTTTGCCTGCCTCCAGAGCCATGCCCTTTCTACTATGCTGGGGGTGGGGGTAGGGAATGGGAAGAGCTTTGCATATTAGCCCATAGAAGGCAGTACATATGTAGGGAATGTATACAAATCAGTTTGAAGTAAAAAAAAAAAAAAAAAAGAGACTCCAAGAACCTAAGTGTCTGTGTTGATGTCAAGTACACATACACATATGTGAATGCTGAACAATAGTCTGAAAAGAACTTGACTATAAAAATATACTATTATTCATTCTCTTTAAAAACCCCAATGAAACTTTTCTTCATGATCTAATAGCTTCACTTACATTGGCAACACTTCCTATATTGGCCTGTAGTCGTGTAGCAGTGGAAATTCTGACAAAGATTCAATATAAGTCTACATTTCTATTTTTCCCTGTTTTAATGTGCCCACAGTAAAAAGCAAGGTTCACAAAATGCCTTCACTCAGTTAATGTGACAGCCTACACAAAATATAGAAACTCATTTGTACAGAATAAAGTGACTGCTCTTAGCTCTTTTTAGCATCTGGCTACAAAGAGTATCTCCTACAAAAAAAACCCTCAACTGTTCTGCTCCTGTTGGAGGTAAAGAGGGAAGGGTAACTCAACCTGAGTATCCCGAGACTTTGGAGGCCTTACTCATTCACTGCCAGGATCAATTTGGGGACAGGGCAAACCCAAGACTTTGTTCACTGGGGTAACAGCCACAAAAGACACTCCAAATAAAGCACGATGATTTTGGTGGAAATTGCCACACAACCAAGTCACCTTTCGACAAAACTCAAGAGTAAACACAATTACACTCGATGCAGAAAAGAAGGGAGAGAGTTCTTTTGGTGTGTTGAAGCCATTTTTAATAGTACTGTAAACTTCAGGCGCTCAGAGTTTCACGAAGCCTTCTCTGACGCCGATTTGGGGGAACTTACCTTTCTCTCCGGCTTCTGAATTTCCGGCAGGATGACACAGAAGGGTTTGATGACTTCCAGAAATTTGACTTTAATAGAGACAAAAGAAGAGTTAAGGCTCTGAGAAACCTGCGCCACCCGAGGAAGCCCTCTGCCGAGGACGTGTTGGGGCACGGAAGCGGGGCGAGCAAGGGGACGCGCGGGGACCCGGAGGAAGGCCTGGGACCTGGACAGGCCTGGCGGGCGGACGCCTGCCCTGACTGGTGAGGGGAAGGGGGATCTGATCCAGCCCGGAGGAGACAGAGCTGCCCTTAGGGACTCACTCGCCATGGCGGCGGCTGCTCTGTCTCAGGGTGCCGCTTCGACGCCGCTTCGACTCCGCTCCGCTCCAAGTGAGGTAACGCTGTCCGCGTCCCAGCCTGCTCCGGGGCGCAGCAAGCTCGGCGGAGAGACACGTCAGTGCTAGCACCCGGGTGAGCGTCGCGGCGCCAAACGGCACGGGCGGGTTCGATGTCAGAGGCGGTCCGTAAGTCGCTTCCGCTTCCTGCCACGCGCTGCAGCCCGGCGGCTGCGCTACTGCGGAGACCACAACTCCCGGGATGCAGCGGGGCTCCCGACCTGTCCGGAAGAGAGTGTTCAGCGTGGCGGTGCGGTTGAGCCGATTTGGCAACGCGAGAGCGTAGGTGGCAGGGCGTGTAATCTCAGGAGATAGAAGCGGTGCTAGCTGGTGGAGAAAATGAGGCAAGTGGTAGTCCTCGCCTGCGCCCGCGACTGTGCGAGCGAGACGGAGTCTCGGCTCACTTCCATGCTTTCAGCGAATAGGCTGTAAACTACTTTGAGCAGGCTTAATCCCAGCGCCGACCACAGTGCCCGGCACCTAGTAGGTGTTCGGCTCGTGGGAACACCTTTGTAGAGTCAGCAAACCCGAGGCCTGTCTTGACTCCTGCAGGGCCCCAGCTACCTGAGGAAGAATGGGATGAGTGCACGGAGAGACTGACGGTTGGAGAAGAGGTGGGGCAGCTAAGGAAATTCTCTAGCCTACTATGAAATCCAGGAAGGCCGCCTGGAGGATTTGCTTTTGGGCCAAACAGATGGATTCCGGCGAGAAGAAATATGAGGAAGGAAGGTGCCTGATTGAGGAAACTTGTAAGGAAGATACGGCGGTGTGAATGCGCAAGATCTGAGGAAAGAAGTCCTGTTTGGCTAGGACAAAGGCTCTGTGAAGGGGAACAATAAGATTTAGTGTGTTCGTGGACCAATGGGTTGGTCAATGGATGCTTAGACGGAGAGTTTGGATTTATTTTCAATTCATCTATAATCAGCGGTAGCATGTGGTAAAATAATCCAAAAGAGACTTGATGCTATGAGCGTTTAGAGGAGGAGAAGGAGGTGGATGCTGTGGATTAGGGAAGATTTCATGGAGCTAAATCCTGTCCTGGACCAGTAGAAGTTGTAGGTTGCAGATGTGGTGAAATGCTTTTTTGCAATAATAATAATTTGGAGATTGCTTTGTCTACTTTTCCCTTTCCTCCTATTTCTAGAGGGTAGCCAAGACTTGTAAGTCCTTTCTCAGAATTTTTATATATTCTCTTTTTTTGAGAACCTAACCCAGGGTCAGAAAATTCATATTACTATGAACATGGATATATTTAATTTAAAGTGGATTTTGTCTGACATTAGTATAGCCATCCTGCCCTCTTTTGGGTACTATTTGTACAGAATATATTCAAACATTAATTTTCAATCTATTTATGTCTTATCTAAAGTATGTCTCTTGTAGACAGCAAATACTTAGATTGTGTTTTTTAATTTATTCTGCCAATCTGTGTGTTTTGACTGAGGAGTTTAATCCACAATTATTTATTTCCTTTGAATGGACCCTGCTCTCTTTTGGTTACTGTTTGCATAGACTATCTTTTTATTATTATTATTATTTTTTTATGGTGACATTGGTTAACGAAATCCAATAAGTTTCATCTGTACACTTTAACAGTAAGGCATAATATATTTACACTGTGTTCACCTCTCATAGTTAGATTTCTTTCTGTCACCACATATTTGACCCCCTTTACCCCATCTACCTGCCCCCTCCTCCCATCCCCTACCTTCTGGTAACCACTAGTCTATAGTCCATGTCCCTGAGTCTCTGTTTCTTTGTCCTGTTCATTTGTAGCTTTTAGGTTTATATCCCACATATAAGTGACATCATGTGATTTTCAACTTTTTCTGTCTGAGTTATTTCACTTAGCATGATTATCTCAAGGTCCGTCCATGTTGCAAATGGCTGTATTTCATCTCTTCTTATGGCTGAGTAATATTCCATTGTATATATGCACC